GCACTTTTCATGCTACCCTCACATCTAATTCCATGGTGAGAATTTTTTAACTTTTTCAAATTAAAAAAGTTCCAGTGGTGCTGGTGCCCCATGCAAAGCAGAAACTAAGGACCTAATCAGAAGAGAGGCTGAATACAGCATAGTTATCTGAAAGCAGAATGTTTTAAACTGAAATCCGTGTTTTACTCCGTTTTTTAAAAACTAATGTTTAGGTAAGGAAAAAACAAAACCCACACAACATCCTGCTATTCCACTGAGTAGCATTCACTTATTGGTTTCTGCAAAGACTATTAACTGAAATATCATTCGATGATACTATTGAAATACTTTGTGCTGCAGTTAATCCATTTCAGCTATCCAAAGGCTACAGAAAACAAGGTTCACAGCACTTCTCAAATCTCAACGATTTAACTCCTTCCTCCTTCCCTGCTGCGCCCTCCTCTCTCGGAAAACACCGTACCTGCTCGGTTTTCAGAACTTAACATTGAGGGGTGGGGGAGGGGAAGGTTGGGGGTGTGGGGGTGGGAGAGTTCTCTAATTTTTGGACTTGCTATCCCATTCTGCCTGAGTACAACAAACCCCTGTAGTAAAAGAACCTTATGAATAGTGATGAAAATCGAGGACCAATTTCCTTCTGCTCGCTTCTCTCTATCTCTATAAACTTCACTACGGCCCTCAATGCACCCATTTCTACGCCAGAGCAGCCCTACCTGTGCCCAGACGCCCCCTGCCCAACTCGAACTGCTCTATGAGCTTGGACCCGGGCCACTGCTCCCCTCCCAGTCTAAAGACTGAGGAACCAAGATGCCCATCTCCCGCCGCGCAGACTGCAGAGGCCTGAGGGTTCAGGCCGGGTCAGCGAGGGGCGGCGGGGGCAGGGGAGCAAGCCGCAGGGACCGCAGCTCCGCGCCGGCTGGTGGGGCTGGCTCCGGAGAGACGCCGGGAGAGAGGGACGCCGGGGGCGGGGACAAGGCCCGGGCTACCTGCGGGCCGCCGCCCTCACCGCCCCAGTAGTCGCAATGGCTGCAAGAGACCGCCGCGCTCTGTGAACCCTCGCGGCCGCCTAGGGAGCCCCGGCCTGCGCCCGTCCGCGGTCACGGCCCCTTCATTACCTCTGACCGCCCGGCAAGCAGCAGCAGGTGATGCGGCGACTGGGCAGCCGAAACGCGCAGGCTGGTCGCCTCCCACCCCTCCCAGGGGCGCCAGGAGCCCGGACCAAAGAAGTGGGAAGAGGCGTGCGAGACAACGCGACACAGAGGGGGGACAGGGAGGGGGAGAACCCTCCGGCTCTCCGGAGGGACTGGAGAAAGGGAGGCGAGGACGCAGGCGGCGCGACACCACGCGGTGGGGACGGTCGGGACGCTCGCGTACCTTCCTCACTCCTCCCTGAGGGTCCAACGCGAGCCAGCAGATCGCCTCACATCCGGGTATCAAGAGACACTCAGCCGCTTCTGCCGCGACCGCCGCCTCTCCCGCGGCGCAGAAACGCCGAACTTCCGGCGACGACGGCGACGCCTCGCCGGTCAGATGGGAGTTACCTGCGACCGTCTTGGGCGCGCTTGCGCAACGTTCCTCTTCAGCCCTAACCGGCTCAGCTGACGTACCCAGAAGACGAAGATGGCCGCCACGCTCGCTGCGTGTCACTCCGTTTTTCACCCGGCCGGGCCCGCTGGGCGTCGGGGAACAGGGAGCCTGTGTCCATCCTCGGCGCAGGCGCGGTGGGAGGCCTCGCGTGCGCTCACCGCGGGTGGGCTGCTCGCGGGGAAGCGGCGGCGCCCCCTGGCGGCGGCCTCTTGCTCTTCCCGCGGTCGTCTCGTGGAATAATAACACCCACGCCCCCAGCGGTGGTGGTTTGTCGTGGAAATTCGTCGCCCCCGCTTCTTCTGTTGGTTGCGGGTACTGCTCTTCTGCGACCTCCAGGTCACATACCTTTAATCTTCGACATGGACCAATGTAACGAAAAAAGGAGGCAACTGACCCTCTCTCTCCTTCCGCGGCACTGCACTCCCTCGCTTCCAAAAAATGCAGGACTTCACCGTCTCCGTGCACACTTTCCTCCTTGTGCACCAAAGCACAAGCGTCGACAAGAAATTGTATAATGTTCCACTAGATTTAGTCATGGCGGGTATTCAGATAAAGCTTTGGCTCTTCGAAGCCTCTAAAGATAGAATCCAGCGTTCTGTCACTAGGATCGTGGTTGCCACACTGCTTTTGAACGCTTTCTGTGCTACTCCTTCCTTTTTTGCAGAGATGTGAGGATGGATAAACGCTACTCTTGCCTTTGAGAATCTAGAGAGAGGTGATCATAGGTAGGTTCTTCCCTTCCTGACCTCTTTTTTTGAAGCCAGGTACAACCAAAATGTGCTCTAAGTTTGAGAAGCCTGATGTTTTTCTGACATTTCCCACAAAACTTTATTGAACTGCTTGTTACTTTAGTCTGGGGAGATTCCATGGTTTAAAAAACAAAATAGGTGAGGCCATTACCCACATCACCGTAGGTTGTGTTACTTAGCAAAAGCCTGTCTACTGCCTCCCCCACCTCCAATTCCTAATATAGGTATATTCTTTTTTTTTTTTTTTTGTGAGGAAGATCAGCCCTGAGCCAACATCCATGCTAATCCTCCTCTTTTTGCTGAGGAAGACCGGCTCTGAGCTGACATCTATTGCCAATCCTCCTCCTTTTTTTTTTTCCCTCCAGAGCCCCAGTAGATAGTTGTATGTCATAGTTGCACATCCTTCTAGTTGCTGTATGTGGGATGTGGCCTCAGCATGGTGGGAGAAGCAGTGCGTCCGTACACTCCCGGGATCCCAACCCGGGCTGCCAGTAGCGGAGCGCGTGCACCTAACAGCTAAGACACGGGGCCGGCCCTATAAGTATATTCTTTAATGACATATGCCAAATGTCTTAAATTGGGAAAAAAGTCAGGAGTAGACTGCTGACCTGATTGAAGCTGGTTATCTACCAGAGCATCGGACTTATATCTTCTTTCACCTTTAGATTGTCAGACAACTGGTGTAATTTCTTTCTGTGTGTAAACCACTTTATCTTCAGTAACTTAAATTCTGGCATACACACACACAAACCATATTTACAAGTTTCCATTCCCACAAAATAGGCCTCTGCTTCTGAGTGATCTGTTCCCCTATATTTGTTTTGTGGCCACGATCCAGAGCATAGCAATCCTTACAAGTCTCACACCATATTAAATATATATAATAAATATAAAATATATATAAAACATAAATATAATTATTTATTTAATTTTAATTTTAATTGGCACATTTAGGCCTTGTTTTTAATCCAGGGGCTCATTAATATCATCATGAGTTTTGTTTTTTTTTAAAAGTCTCTCCTAAGACTGGTTTTTCTCTTGGTTCTAGGTGAGTTCCCAAACTGCAGAGGCTACTACCTCTCCATTCACATCCAAAAGGGAAGAGTATTCCCTGCGAAGGTCTGATTGGATCAGCTTACATCCCAAGCCCACTGTGGACAAGTAGTGGAATGTGATGAGTGACAGTTAAGGGTAGAGTCAGCTTCCTTAGGACCACATGGATCACCAGGACACTATTAGGAACTGTTGGGAAGAGAAGGGGATACATATTGAGAAGACAACACACAAATGTCAATTACAGTCTTGCTACCCAAATTGTGGTCCATGGACTAGGGGCATCTTCATCAACTAAAGTCTTGTTAGAAATGCAGAATTTCGGACCCCACACCAACTGAATCAGAATTTTCATTCTAAAGTTTCCTCCAGGTGAGTCCTATGCATATTAAAATATGATGAGCATTGCCTTACAACACCCAAGACTTCTGATGATCAGAGGTGAAGTCCAGGCTGGAGATACAAATTAAAGCTGTGGTTTTGGAGATCACCTAGGCTAAAGACCAAAGTATCCATAAGGAGACTACACCCAGGGAAAGCCCCAAAGCACTCCAATATGTCATGGCTCAGTAGAGGATGAGGCAGCTAAGGAGACCTAGAAAGAGTAGCTAGTAGGATAAGAATAAAACCAGGTGTGCTTGGCATCCTGGAAGCCAAGAGAGGAGGGTGTTCAAAAGGGGAGTGTTTGTGTTGAATGCTTCTGAGATATTGAGTAAGATGAAGATAGAAGTTTGTCTTGGAGGTTTTGATAACTATTAGACAAGCAATTTCAGTGTAGTTTGAAGACTGAATTGGAGATGATAAAATAAGTGTAGACAGCTCATTCAAGAACTTTTTCTGTGATCGAAGTCTGGCAGTAGCTGGAGCTGCAGCAAAGGAGAACTTTGTTTTGTTTCTAAGATAAATTTGTTTGCTGATGGAAAAAATTCAGTAGAGAAGGAGAAATTGATGATTCAAGTTAGAAGGGGATAACTGAAGGAGTAAAATTCTTGAGAAAATGACAGATGGGATCCAGGCTACAATGAAAAAGAATTTACCTTTGAAAGAAGCAACAATGCTTCCACCCTTGTGATAGGAAGGAAAGCAGAAGGATGGCTTCTGTTTTCTTAAAAAAGTATGAAACATTAGCAGAGAGTGATTTGGGAGATGGCCTGTAAAAGGTTTCAGAAGGAGGAAAGAAAGAAGATATGAACTAATTTGTGAGATTATTATAGAAGCATAACACAGTCTCTGAGTAGTACCTCTTTGAGGTTTGTGGTCAGAATTTAAGGTAAAAATAATCAGCTAAATCGTGTGATTTTCTTCAGGTACATTAAGTAATGCTGAGGTTCCCGGTGTTGGAGCAGAATTAGCATAATCCTTTGGGCTTCTCTCAGAATTTCCCTTCGTGCAGGGATATATTTAGTGCTGCATAACACATGGCGCCCTGTCGTGGCGAAGTGCGACGGCGACAGGCCTGCTAATTGGATTTAATCTCCTCAAATCTCCCTCTTGCGGGAAATTTCCTTTTAGACTAGTCCTAACGCCCTCAGCAGTCGCAAGGTACACCTCCAGCCGCCAGAGCCCGTTGTGGCGACCCTCGCGCCGGAAGTGAGTGCGGCCCAGCCGGCCTCGGCGTTTCCGCCGTGCGTAAGCAGTGCTCAGCGCGCTCTTTGCGTCGGAGCCCCGGCAGTAGGCGTTTCCGGCCATTCATACTCCCAGTCCGTTGGCGCTTGGTTGTGGCGTTGCGTGCACTCTCGGATCGAAAGGGCGACGGCGCCGCTAGCATGAAGCTCGTGAGGTGAGGAGGTGACCAAGCGGGATGGGAGCTGTGAACGGACGGTTTGGGCCGGGAGCCGGGCTGCCCCAGTTCCAGGAGGCGCGAAAGCCGCGTGCGCGCGCGGCCTGCTGACGGCCTCCGGCGCCCGCCGCTCCCGCCCCATCTAGGCCGCGGGCGCTCGCGCGTGGCTTTCGGACTGAATCGCGCGGGGATCCCGCGTGTCTTCCAAGAAGTAGACGTAAGGCCGAGACGTTTCTTCCCACCTAGTGTCTTAGAGGCCTTAAAGGTGCAGCGCCAGGCTTACAAACTCGTACTTTCGGTTCCTTACCGATTTTTATATCGAGTACAACTCGTGTTCTAGTCTAGGTTACTTTTCTGGCTCCTTTCAGCTCCCAGAACCGGCAAATATAGGTAGGTCCACGCTCCCTGAGAACGTGGGAGACAAAGAAAAGGAAAATTATATGCTTCTGCGAAAGTAGTTTAAGTTGATCCGCTTTTCGTGATGAAACTTACGTCGCATTTAAAAAGAGTACTTAGAAGTTGCGGGAGTTTATCTGGAAATACCGAAACCCATTTCCGAAATGTTTTAAAATCGGGGTTGGACTTCTGACTTCATAAGTTGGTCTTTTTCCAGCTTTATTGAGATATACTGGAATTTTTTTCAGAAGGTAGAGCCCCTGCCTTGTTGGAACTTTATGTTTTGTGATGAAGACAGACAAGTAGATAGTTTCTAGTATGTTTGAAATAACATATAAAACCGTCAATATTTTATTCAGGGTGGACTTTGTAGAGAAGGCATTTAAGGTTAATTTTTAGTCCATTTTTGTTTGAGCTAGAACTTTTGGAGAAAAAGTCTCAGAATTTAAAGTACATTTTCTCGATACCTGCCAGTTTGAATGTGTTTATAGTTTCATATATTTATAATTTGATATATTTTGAATCATGCAGTATGCCTGCTTTTTGTGTAAAATTTCTTTTACTCAGCATATTTTTTTTGAGATTCGTCCACATTGTGGCGTGTATCGCTAATTTATTCCTTTTTATTAGTGAATAGTAGTCCATTGTGCATTTAAGAGTTACGTATTTTGTGTAAAACTGTTTTGAACATTCTTGTGTAAGTTTTGTGTTTTGTTCCTTCATTTCTCTTGGGTAAATACTTAGGAGTGGAGTTGCTGGATCGTAGCACAGGTAAACGTTTAGTTTCATGAGAAACTACCAGACCATTTTCCAAGGCGGTACTATTTTACACTCCCGCCAGCAGTGTATTAGAATTCCACTTGCTCCACATCGTCACCAGCATTTGTTGTCGTCAGTCTGTTTAGCCATTTTAGTCCTTGTATAGTGGTGTCTCATGGTGTTAATTAACAGTTTTCTAATGATTAATGATATTGAGCACTTTTTCACCTGCTTATTGGCCATTTGCATGTCTTTGTGAAGAGTCTTGTTTTGATTGTGTTGTTTCTTTTTATTGTTGAGTTGTAGGAATTCTTTATATATCCTTTGCCAGATATAATTTCTCTCAGTTTGTGGTTTGCTTGCTCATTTCCTTAGTAGGTAATGTCTTTTGGTGAGCAAAAGTTTATTTTGAGGAAGTCTTGATTTACCAGCTTTTGGTTTTATGGTTCTTACTCTCTATGTACTGCCAAAGAAACCTTTGCCTACTCTCAAACCATGAAGATTTCTCCTGTTTTTCTCTAAAAGCTTTATAATTTTAACTTTTATGTTTAGGTGTGATCCATCTTGAGTTAATTTTGGTAAGTGGTGTGAGTTAGAGGTCCAGGTTCATTTTTTCTATATGAATTTTTAATTATTCCATGTTGTTATGGATTTCATCATTTGTTGAACAGGCTTTCCTTTGCCTGTTGGACTGCTTTGGCACTTTTGTAGAAAATCAACTAAATAAATGTAGATTTATTTCCGGACTCTATTTTATTTCGTTGATCTATTTGTTGTTCCTGTGTCTTGGTTACTATAACTTTAACCTATATACTACTCTAGCCATCTGTCTTCCTAGAGATTGTCCTAGAGATAGAAGGTTGGTAACAATTAGTATTGATAAGGATTTGCATAATGGATTTGTAATAGCAAAATATATATATGTGGCCGTGGAAATATCTTCAGTATAAACTGCTAAATGAGAGTACAAGTTATAGAAGTCGTTAAAGTATGGTCCAATTTATGTAAAAACAAAGTTTATGCATATGCTTATAAATGCATGTAAAAATGTAGTAGAAGAATAGCCCTGCATACAAAGAGGGAGTTAAAAAGGGAGACTTTTACTTTTCTCTATTTAGACATGTACAATAAGTGTGTAATCTTTTACTACCAATTATAATTTCCTGATTTCAATTTTGTGGCTTATAATGACTTTGAGATCTGTATGTCTGGATTGGAGGTTAAGCTATATAATGGTTTTTGTTAGTGCCATCAAGTCAATCCCGACTCCTAGTGACCCTGTATATACAGTGAAGTGGAACCCTGTTCCATCTTGTTACGCCATCCTCGCACCTTCCGGCGCTATATCGGGCAATGCTCCACTGCTATTCGTAGGGTTTTCATGGCCAGTTTTTGGAAAGTGGGTGGCCGGGTCCTTCTTCCTGGTCAGTCTTAGTCTGGAAGCTACACTGAAACCTGTCCACCATGAGTGACCCTATTGATACTTGAAATACTTGTAGCGTAGCTTTCAGCATCACAGCAGCACGCAGGCGCCACAGTATGACAACTGACTGACAGATGGTGTAGTTCTCCGGCCAGCAAACAAACCCAGGCCATGGCAGTGAGAGCACTGAATCTTAAACGCTAGACTACCAGTATAATGGTTTAGAGAATCAGAAATATCCAAATGGCAGTTTCTCTTATTATTATGCTCCTTCATAAATGTTGAGGGTATAATTCAGGGAAAGCTGAAATTGTTATGCAGATTATTAATAAGAATTGATACAGATAACATCTCTAGCAGATTTTCAACAGCTGGAAATTTCACCCTTTTGACTTAAAACATGATTTTAAAGTGTTAAAAGTGAAAATTTATTTTATTCGTAGCAGATTTTCAACAGCTGGAAATTTCACCCTTTTGACTTAATAAACATGATTTTAAAGTGTTAAAAGTGAAAATTTATCATTTTATTCCTACTGTCTTCATAGATTTTTGATGAAATTGAGTCACGAAACTGTAACCATTGAATTAAAGAATGGAACACAGGTCCATGGAACAATCACAGGTATGGAGGTTGGACTGCTTTATAACGCTTTTTTTTTTTTTTTTTTTTTTTAAATCTTTTCCACCTGCAGGTCAGAGTTCTTTTTTGGTTGCTTAATGAACATTATTGTCATATAGATCTCATTGTTTTTGTCTGAATTATTTCATTGACCTTCTTACTTAAACCTCACCTTAAGTACTTATGTTACGACCAAACTATATGTGACCCCTGTTTTCCTGCTTTTGTGCCTTTTATGCCTTTGCCAATGTGTGTGCCCCTCTGCCTGGAATGTTGCTTCATTCGAAATACATTTTACTTTTTAGGATTTTGTGTTCTCTGTAGAGATTGTAAAGTCCTTGAATAGAGGATGGGGTTTTTATGTCTGATTACCTCGAGTGAAAAATATGTGGTAAATGGGGAGGGGGTAGCGAGGAACCATAATTTTAACCTCACTAAGACAATAGCTGTGAGCATAACATTTTGAAGTATTTTGTCTAAAGCAAAGAGTTAGGTCTAACTAGTTAGGTCTAACTCTTTGCTTTGATAATATTGTATATTTGGTTTTATATTTAAGGCCACTACATTTCTTCACTCATAGTAGATGTCCCAAAAGATTTCAAATTTTCAAAAGAGTTGATGAGCCAAATGAAATAAAATTCTATCTTAGCATCTGATCCCATTCTCTGGAATATTTAAGTTATAAATTTATAAATAATTTTTTAATGTGTAGATCCAGCATCTGAATAAACCAAGAGAAATATACAATATTAAACTGGTATTATTTGTAAATACACTAGAATTTTGCAACACCAGTTCCTGTGAAAGAAAATCAGTACAGTATAAGGTTTTGATGCAGTCTCTGACCATAACTGAGGAAGTGTAATTGCTGTCCTGTTAAAATTCTGTAAACAATAATTGTCTGCTCTCTCCTGAGCCCTGTGTTAGATGTTGTAGAGGAAGCGGAGTGTTCTTGCTTTCTAGGAGCTCAAAATCTAGTGATGGAAGACACACACCCACACGCAAATAATGTAATGCAAGGTTTGCCTAACATATAGTAGGCACTTAAATGATTTCCTAGTGGGAAAGTTTTAGTAAATTGGAGGAGCAAAATCCAGTAAAAATCCAATTCCTTCCCCCACTGACAACCACTGTTACAAGTGTCTTGGGTCCTATGTGAATATTGTAGCCTTCACAGGGGAGATAGTCATACTATCTACCATAGGGATGTTGAGGATTAAATTAAAATGCCTTAGCATGCAATTCCTGGAACATAGAAGGAGCTCATAAATCTTTTTTTCTTTTTTTCCTCTCTTGATGGATCAAGGTCCTCAAGGAGATGGAATATATCAAAAGTATATTAATTTTAAGAAAGAAGAGGACCTCCACTTCCTCTGACTGGCAGGAAGGAGGAAAAGATTAATAATACTGAAAATTTTGAGGTGAATGTTGGGAAAGTTGAAAGAATTCATGTTTTCTAGCGTTAACTTTCTAAGGACAGAAATTAACTAGAGCTTTAGTTTCCCATTTGTTCACATATATTGGTAAAGCCTCCAATAATCAGATGTTGCTGCTATAATGCCATATATTCTTGCAAGGCAACGTTGCTTTTATTTTGTAAAATCTCATACTAAAAGTAATGGCTTAATGGGAGCAGTAGTTTGAGGGCAGACCACTCAAAACCTGTGCAACTTGGTAATCAAAAATATTTTAAAAAGGGCCAGCCCCGTGGCTTAGCAGTTAAGTGCACGCGCTCTGCTGCTGGCGGCCCGAGGTCGGATCCCGGGCGCACACCAACACACCACTTCTCCGGCCATGCTGAGGCCGCGTCCCACATACAGCAACTAGAAGGATGTACAACTATGACATACAACTATCTACTGGGGCTTTGGGGGGAAAAATAAATAAATAAAATTAAAAAAAAAAAGTATTAAAAAAAAGAGTAACAATCCTTTCCCAAAAAACACAGTTAAAAAGACACGTGAGAGGGCTGGCCCTGTGGCGTAGCGGTTAAGTGCGTGCGCTCCACTGCTGGTGGTCCGGGTTCAGATCCCAGGCACGCACCGATGCACCACTTGTCAGACCGTGCTGTGGTGGCATCCCATATAAAGTGGAGGAAGGTGGGCACGGATGTTAGCTCAGGGCTGATCTTCCTCACACACACACACACAAAAAAGACGTGAATTTCTAGTAATAAGGAAAAATACTACAGTACGTATAGGACTTTATTTTAAAAACAAAGATGAAGATAGCTTCGTGGAATTGGGTGTAAGGAAGTTATGGAGACAGTGGGAGAACCATGCAATAAGCATTGCCAACCCTGAGATAGGATACATGGGGACACTGGAAATAAGGCATGTATACCAGTCACGGTTCCTCCAGGGCTTGCTGCATGCACTTCTGTAAGCATACCTAACTCTGCAAAACGTTAGCATGCTAGGGAAAATCTCTGTGAAGGAAAGATTGCTGATTTTAACTGGCATTATTCCTCCATTTAGCAGTTGGACTAAATTATGTCATAGAAACTTGCACTGTAGCAGAACAAACAGTACTCTTTGTAATATGGTGTTGACTGTGGTTTGATTAATTGGTTGCCTTCGTATCATACTAATAATTGCCCTATTTTTTTCCCTTTAGGTGTAGATGTCAGCATGAATACACATCTTAAAGCTGTGAAAATGACCCTGAAGAACAGAGAACCTGTACAGCTGGAAACACTGAGTATTCGAGGAAATAACATTCGGTATTTTATTCTACCAGACAGCTTACCTCTGGATACACTACTTGTGGATGTTGAACCGAAGGTGAAATCTAAGAAAAGAGAAGCTGGTAAGTTTGAAAGATTATAAATGTTTTTGTGAATGGTCTATTTATACCCTAATCCACTATTCAAAATATAAACCTATGTGAACAACACAGGTGTTTTTGTTTTTTTTAATCTCATATATTTGCCGTGAGTGCGTATAGTGTATTATAGTTCCTGGTGTTGTTATTAAAAAGACTGATGCTGTTCTTACTTCTCGTCCCTTTGTGCATGGCCTTGTTCCCCACCCCCTACACACTTTGGAAGATTTGGAGATTGACTCTTTATTCCTGTTTTTCTGAAATTTCTTTTTTTTTTTTTTTTTTTTAATTTTTTTACTAATTTTTAAAATTTATTTATTTTTTTCCCCCAAAGCTCCAGTAGATAGTTGTATGTCATAGTTGCACATCCTTCTAGTTGCTGTATGTGGGACGTGGCCTCAGCATGGCCGGAGAAGCGGTACGTCGGTGCACGCCCGGGATCCGAACCTGGGCCACCAGCAGCAGAGCACGCACACTTAACCGCTAAGCCAGGGGGCCAGCCCTTTTCTGAAATTTCTTAATGACTTGGCATAGGGTCTTTGCTTGCCCTCACCTTTTTTCCCTCCATTTTATTGTTCTGAGTACCTGGTGGACCCTTTCAATGTGGATATTCTTGCCTTTTAGAGCCAAGAAATTTACTTGTATAACTTTGATGAATTTCTTCTCTTTTGCTTGTTCTGTTCTTTGTTCCTGGAATTCTTTTTTTTTT